GAGTATTCCGGGTTCTCTTCTCGCTGCTTTTGATATCAAGTCAAAACAATATTTGGCGCCGTCAACCGCAAAAGCGAAAAAAAAAAATGTTCGGCCAAAAACGAACGAATAATCGGCCCACGCGTATACACCAAAGAGGGGGGTCAGGCGCAAGGCTAACAGTGGTGCGACTGACGGCATGCACCAGGCCATTAACGCCTGCACGGCATGAAGAATACCTGAGGACTTCGATACTGCCGTCTGTCTGCGTGAAACTCCGTTCGCCTAGTGCTTTCGAGGTGGGCATCACACATTCCGCCTCTGCGATCTCCTATCGTATTGATGCGTGGTTGATTTTCAATATTCGGATCGGTCTTCCCGATGATCATTACCTAGTTTAGCCTTCCGGCAATAAAATAAAAAACATCTTAACAATATATAGGTGCGTAATGGGCACACATCCACTCGTTGATTTGATTACTAACCCCCAGTGTGAATCACCTGTTGGGTGTACTCAGCACTAGATACGGATCTACGGAGATCTCGAGGGTTTCCTGTATCTTCTTGGTATGTGTTACTGGAAGGGCGTACCCCCTTCTGGTGTGCAGGGGTTTTTGCCCTGCTGTTCACTCGTTAATGACAAGGTCTTGAGCCAACCTTCTGCCCACAGCCTCTGACGGTAGGCACCCGCTACCCAACACGATATATCGAGGAAGGATCCTGCGGGTGTCGGTATTGGTGTGGAGCTACGTATAAGCGGATTCGTCACAGTTTGGAGCTTCCGGCGCGGCACTTTTTATATCCCGCGTTCGTCACAGTTTGGAGCTCGCGGTCGTGTGCTTTGTGTTTGATATGTCATCGGGAAGGAGATGGACTCATTTGAGGCGGCGGAACTCAAAGCCGAACTTGCCCTACCAGAGGGCAGAGTCGCAAATGCCGTGCGGGCACGGCAGGTGGCAACAAGTTCAGCGGATACATCCGTCGCTGGATTTCAAGGATGCGGTGCGACTACGCAGCCGCAGCAACAGCAGCAGGAGTTCGAATACGGCAGTTTCCAGCAGCAGCAGGACCGGGGGAATCAGCGGTGGATACCCCGCGGGAATTTTCTGTCGCAGCAACAGCAGCTGGCTCAAGGTGCAAGGAGCCAGCAGCAGGAGGAGCAGCGCCAACCGTTTGTCCGCAGCAGCGGGACCCCCAGGACACGACGTGGATGCAGCGCAATCGCGCAGCAGCCGCCGCAGCCGCGAGGTGATCCTCCTTGCCAGCACCAGGAACAGCAACGGCAACAACACGGTGTATGGGGCTTTCAACAGCCACAGCAATCACAACAGCAGCAGGGCGGTGTATGGGGCTCTCGACAGTCGCAACGGGCACAGGCGCAGATTTTCCCCGCTTGCATGCTGCGTCTGCGTGTTTCCCGCCGGCACGCTCAGGTGTATCGAGATTCATGGGTACCATGGGCACCTTCCACGCTTCCCCATCGGGCGAGATGGTGTTCAACCGTCGTTCGCCGCGGCCGGAGGAGCGGGAGCTTGTGAACAGCAATGGCCAGAGGCTTCGGGTATCGTTCTTTGGTGACTTGACGCTACTGTTCCACTGCACGCAGAACGTTCTTCTCACTTTGAAGGACGTTGCTGTCGTTCCGGAGCTGGCATATGCCCTCATTTCCTTCACCAAGGTGCAGAGGAGACAGGACGTCATCCTGAGCAGCAAGGGTGTGTCGCTCATGGGGCGAAGCATCCAGTTTGAGAACTTCAGCAACGGCAACTTCATCCAGGGTACTCGTGTTTTGCCTGCTGACTTCCCGTCTTGTGCGGTAGCCGCTATGCCATCTTTACCGGTGGCTACGGCATCTCCCCCTGGAGGGTGGCTTCGTCCAGGGGCATTGGCGGCGTCTCCAGTGCCAGCAGTGCCGACCGAACCGCATTCCCCAGCATTGGTGGAGGAGTCAGGTGCCAGACAAGAGCGCGCCCATCGCGGATTCCGAGCGGTTGGCGGCGGGCTCCACGGCGGAAGATACTGCGGCGGAGGCACCAGCGGTGACGATAGCGACGGAGCCGCGCTCCCCAGCAGTGGTGGATCGGAAGTTTTGTGGTAGCTGGTGTGAGGAGGTGGAATTCACGAGCGCGAGCAGCACCGACAGCGCCAACGAGAGCGAGGACAGCTGTGACGGAGCAGCAGCGGTCTACGGGATCGGCGACAGCGGCAGTGATGTTGCCTTGGGCGCGGAGGAGCTGACCTGTGGTGACCGGCGGGCGTCCACTCACCCTTTCGATCCCGGCACCGTGTTTGCAGGGGTTCGAGACGCCGGCACTGTGCGTGCAGGAAGCGCCGACGGCAGTGATGGTGGACAATACGCCGAGGAGGTCGGCGACCGGAGGAGGAGCAGCGGCAGCAGCGATGACGGGCTCGATGTGGTCTGGTTTGGGGCACTGCTGCGCCCGTTCGACCCGGGCAAACGGCCACTGCTGAGGTCGAGCAGAGGGGGCCGGTGCTGAGGGTCGACACCCCTTTTGACCGTGGACAGATGTTGGGGTGGCGAAGGCTGCGGCGCATGCGGTTGCGACCGGAGCAGCGGAGGATCTGATGGCGAGACCGGCGCGAGGCGCCGAGACGTGTTGGCGGAAATTTGAAGATCTGGACCGAGGCGAGCAGCAAGCGGTTTGACGGGCTTGCTGCGGCGGGTTATTTCAGGTTTTTGGTTTTGATTTGTGCGGTTTCTGTACGTAATTTCTAGTTTTGGTTGACATTCCAATACGCATACATCCCCTCCTGGTGAGGAATTACGGCTGAAACCCGAAACCTACTTCAATAAACGGCCTCTAACCTGCAATCCGATACTTCCAGGCGTTTGCCCTTGGTTTGCGACTCACCATGGAAGATGAATAGGAAGGATGGCAGTGGGAGAGACCAGACAGCTCGTCCTCGATCTGCCGGAGAATACCACGCTACCGCGGGGGGGTGTCGTGTACCACAGCGTAGGTCTGTTTGGTCATGCACCCGAATGTCACACGAACCGAAAATTGGGAGAGCACGTATTCCATTACGCGGAGGCTGTTTTCAACGGGTGGGCATCTCTGGCCACATTGCCCTCTCGCCTGGGACGTGGTGAAGTGGAGTGGGGGCTTGGGGAGCGAGAAAAGGGAAGGCGTATTTGTTTGTGACACGCCTGCTCTCATTTTCTCGGGAGCTGACTGGAATGTTGATCTCGGCCAATCAGTGCCTCGTAATCCTGGCGATAAAGAAAACGATACAAAATGACAAAGCAACATAGCCCGCTCACTTGTTCTCATGTCCAGGGCAAACTGCCTTGCCGCCGGCTTGACCTACTGTCTTCCTTCGCAGACATGTCGAGGACTTCGTAGCATACATACGCGGAAACCCTTCCGGCGCCTTCCCTGCACACACGTGTGTGGGCGGCTGGAAAAAAAACGCATATTATAGATAGACGCAACGGCTGCGGAAAACTGACTGAGTGGTTCGTCAGCGGCCCAGAACGACAGGCAGTGTAATGTACAGCGTCGCGAGATCGGATCCTTTCGCGGGGCCTCTTTTGTGGGCGATATTCCTCGCTTGGAATTGCCGCTCTTAAACGTTTGTTCGATAATCCCAGTATCACTTGTGCGCTTGTGGCTTCCCCGGAAGAGGTGAGAGCTTGCTTTCTCACGTACCAAGGTGATCGTCACCCCGCCGCATGACAGGTTGCAGGGGAAAGGCCCCCAAATACATGCTATGAGAGTCTACGTAGCGAGGCATCCGCCATTCTGTGGTCGAAAAGCAGAAACCTATTGCAGCCGTCAACATCGCGTAAAACGGTTGTCCGGACTCCCCATTTCTGGGCGTTCGAATTTCACTTTGCTGCCACCCTCCATGTTCTTCTCTGAGTCCACTGCATAGTTGAATGCAGACTTGCACCGTTGTCAAGCAACTCATTCATCCCAGAGTATGCGCACGTAACGCACCCACTTGATCACGCGCGTCACCTCAATCCCAACGGGAACGTAAGCACCTTCAACGGAGAAGCTGAACCCATCGGAAACAGCATATTCCGCTGCCCCGTCCCTGCCAACACCTCCGGACTCGTCATCGTTACCTGAGCACAGACGAGCCATCTCCACGCGTGGTCCATCGACGGCGCCAGTAGCCAACTGCTTTTGCATGGTATTGAAGTCATCTCACTCAGGGGCTAGCCCTACTGCTAAGGGAGTAGAGAGGTGATGGTGTCTTTTCAAAGAATATTTCTGTTGCGAGTGCGCATGGACAACAATGATTTCGCGTCCCACAGCCATGCCCTGCCGTTGCGCGTTGTTGTATCCGGCGCCCAAATGTCTTTGGATCGAACGGAATTGTCGCAAGACCTTTACATTTACCAGATAGTGTACAAGCTGAACGGGTATTTAAAGCGGGCGTAAAGCACCAGACCTCCATTGCATTTGTGTCTAAACTGATTTCACATTCGTCAACTCCACACACCCAGAAACTCTGATGCCGGACGCGAATATTCTGGCTGAATTCTGCAAGTTCATCCCTCGTCACGCGCTTCGATAGACTACAATACAAAACTCTCTACGCGTTCAAATGCTCTCCGAAAGTATTATGCTGTCATGGAAAATAATCTGAGCAACGGTAGCGCAAGGCAGCCACCGCAACGATCTTCCATACCACTTCCCATGTCCGCGCCGACACATTGCTATTATTCTCGGTCCTAACCCCCGCGCTCGGTGATTGACATGATTGTCTTCACGGTCTTGGTCGACCCCGATTCACTTCTTTGGGCTTAGGGTCATCCGAAAATCGGTTCACATCGGCCCACCGCATACACATCCCTTCGACTCCAGAATCGTCCTCCCGACCAAAAAAGGTTCGGCTATACTGCAGACCCAGTATTATGTAGCTCGTCTACGTCTGACGATGAAACTGCCTGTGCAAATCCATGTGCCTCCTCAAATGATGGGCTGCCCGGCGGCATTATCTTAGCCCGAAACCCTCGCACTCCGTGATGGTTCTCCTCAGGAGCCTCGTCAATGTTTTCTCTCCCGAGTACTCTGGTTGTTGAAGCACGTGCGGGCCGTGGGACGCTGGTCCGAGTCCGATCCCGCCCGCTGGATCTGTTCCGGCAGGGGAGGGAATTCGGGAAAGGAATTTCATTCACGCGTCATGATCCCCCTGTCGTTGCTACTGCTATCCCCGACTACACCTCTTGTCGTGACGTCTACTAGCAGCGCATCCAGGACTGCGTTGGGATGGTGAGAGAACGACCGCGTTTCCTCTCCAACAGCGAGAGGCGTCCTCGTTGGTTTGGTAGGTGCGGGTGTTAACAGTCTAACTGAGCAAAGACCGGAACAGTTCTAAGGTGAAGACAACAACGACAACAACAACCAGTCTCAGTTCACATTAAGCGACGGCCTCTTTCGACTGAAGAGTTCCGGTCCGGGGTCACACACCAGAGTGAATTCACTCTGAAACGTATGAAAGCAGCAGACAGTTGTCCTTCCCGGAAAACATTTCATCCGCATCAGTCGGGATTTACTGAAGGGAATGATGCAATACACGTCGGTTTCGGATATGTACATTAGTGCGCTTCGACTACAAAAAGAATAGCTGCCCGCGAACACGCGCAACAGGCAGGACGCAAGCCGTAGAGGCACCCCTCTGGCGACCAAGCGTTGGTTGCAGCAAGTAAACCATTAACTGCACGCACTGTGAAGAGGAGGGACGGTACGGATTTTCACAAGGCAAGGCAGCACACGAATCGTTTGTGTAATTAGGCCCATGGGTTCGTACTCTGAACAATGCCGGGTGGCAGGTAGAAGGTCGACCAAACCCCTTGGTACAATGAGGCCTAAGCACAGGACGCCGCCATATGTGCGGCACCATCTTTTACGCACCGGCTGTGCCTCCTTGAGTGCGCCTTGACTTGGAAACGTTCGAGAACCCAGACCCCTGACCCCTGACCGCTGGCCCCATAACAGTCGAGTGGAAAAACAAACAAACCTTCGTGTACCAAAAAACACTTATGAGAGGCAAAGTTCCGCACCTTGAACGTCAGCTCACCTAGCCCACCGAGTGCATCCTGAACGACAAAGGACACACGACAATAACGAGCACGGTGCAGGACAACGGGTCAAGCGACGTTCAACCAACCCAACTCGAAAAAAATAAAACCGTTCGACAGATGAGGGTCAAGCGACGTCAAACGCTCGTCCCTGCGGACGACGTAACAAAATAATAAGAACACCGCCACGGATGGGCCTAGGGAAAATGAAAAATGCCGGTGACCGATTCGCGATGCGGTCGGTGTTGGATGTACTCACAGCATTGACAGATTATTGCAACCGAGGAACTTTCCGAGAAGATGGAGCAGGGAATTTTGGGGGTTCTGCACTTGTGATAAATTGGGGGAATGGTGGTACCATCTTTGCCGCATATTGTTGTTTGCTGGGTATGCGTGTCTGCAACGGTGTTGGCCACGTGCCCTTGGATAATTCATCTTCCTTTTCCCGGCTATCACGCTCTGGGCTATCACGCCCGTGTCCATACTACATATCCACCAGCTATCACGCTGCCAGGCTGTCACGCCTCTAGGCTATCACGCCATCACAACAGCTATCACAACACCAGCGTCAACACATCAGAGCTATCACGCTCCGGAACATCACAGATGCGGCGGGTTACCACACCCGTGGCAGTTTACTGTATTTTATCGCTGTCGGCAAACCGCCGCGCGGTTCTTTTATTTTTGCCGTCTACAATTGCGCCGGGCGCACCAAGCTATCCAACAGTCGGAATACAGGGGAGAGCTACAGGAAAGCGCTGAACATTCCGTGCAGCTTAACTCAAACCGCCAATAAAAAAATGTAGTACGACACATACATGCCTCTAGAGACGAGGAATATGAGCGTGGAGGGAATCAAATGTTGTTTGTGATACATGCGACATGGGCACCATGCTTTCATGCCACAATGAGGCAAGTCCAGACACGTGACTAGCGCGCCGCAAGATACGATTCACCTTGTTCACGCAGTTTTGTCGAAGCGCGCGACATCTATGTCAACACCGACGACGATGGTTACGACGACCGCGGCCACGATCATGCCCTGGACACTGCACACCATCACCGCCCCCGCTGTTCTAACCCGATCACACAGCGAAGCGGGAGGAGGATATCACTGCCCCAAAACATCCTAATCCTGTCTGTCGACCCTCCCAGAGCTGCACCCTCGAAGGAAAGTTCTAGAAACAACAAGAAACGGATTCTAACTGCAGTCAAAGCTGACCTTCCGCACAACACGACACGGAATCTGCACATCAAAAGCTGACCTCCTTTGAGCCCGTGACAAACATGAGGAGGTGCCGTTGCTCCTCGGCGGGCATCCGCCCCACGGCACGCCAGAAAGCCAGTATGGTGCAGTGGTCCTTCCCGTAGCCCCCGTCATACTCGGTGGTCTTGGCGAGCTTGTCGAAGTCGAGCTCGGACGTTCCCGTGACGAGAACTTCGAGCTCCTCAGCCCTGACATTCGGCAACAACAAAAAAAGGCGCGGTTGAGAAAAAACACAACTCGGGACGGTGGCTGGCGCACACAAGAGAGAAGGTTGTGCAGGAGGGGTGTGACCGCGAATTTTTTTCCTCGCGTATCGGTGGTGATAGGACACCACGTACCAATTTCCAAAAAAGACCAGGAACGATAGTGTCACAAAGATGCTGTCGTGTCCCATTAGACCTTTCCGCCTGCATTTAACCCACCAGCGGGGGGTCACAGTCCGGAGGAATGCAGACCGAAGCAAACGCGAAATATTCGGAAATCTGTCACCATTCGTATGAATAACGATATTAAAGCCGCCCCGGACATGACCCTAAGGAAGCCTTCCTTGAAGTGGTCCATCTGCCGCGAGCCCGCCCCGACCAGGAGAAGCTGCGCGTCAAGTTCCGCGTAACTCTCCTTGTCTCGCTTGTCACCGGGATATTCGCGCCCCCCTCCAGCAAGTTGTGGCTGCGCTCCATCCCCAGGTCATCCCAAGTTACCTGTGTGCACGGTGGTAGCCACGGACAACACAACCGAGAAACGGAAAAAAGGACGTTTACAGGAAGGACGAAAGCGAGTCGCAGGGCGTGTAACAAGGAACTACCCGAGATGCTACATGCGAGTGGACACCAAAACGGCAAACCGATAGGACCGTGGTTGGCACGTGAAATTTATTGGTAGATTACCTAGAACAAGCGAACTTCACGAACACGGCAAGTTTAGCTTCAAGTTTCACTTAGCCCGAAGGAAACCGGATCTCCGCCATGGCCACAAGAAGACTGAAACGCCTTCAGTGTTACATGGCGTGCCATGCCGCGGGGGGCCTTGGCTCTGCCCCAGAGCACGCTCTACCATTGGCGGCGCATCCGAACCCGCCACAAACTACAAGACGATGGGGCAACCAGCCTGAACACGCCCACTCAATATTCTTATTCTTGTAGCATGTTTTCGGCGTAAACAACGGAAATCCTTGCGGTATCAGTTTCTGATACAAGAGTCATGACCTACAAGAAGCGTGGCATACTCACACGCACACATTTACATACGTACACATTTCCGGCGAGAAGACTGATGGCAAGCAACTGATGCTTCAAAGAGCACAACATACATACGCACACATGGGCACGCGTAAGCACTCATCCTCTAATACCACTCGCTGACTCTCTCACTCACACTCACTCACTTCTTCCTTCGCTTATCACAATTCGCTCACTCAGCGACCAACCCACCCCACTCGTTCATTCATGCACCATTCGCCTTCCTTCCGATTGTTGCAAATTCCGGTACAGTTCGCTAATCCCATACCACACCAAGGTCGCGGTCAATCCCGGTACGTACAATATGCTGTCGAATGGCAAGTTTTCAGCTCACATGTATTCAGCTCGTTCTAGACATCTCGAAGGATGGTCTCCTGTGGTTAGCTTCATCCAAACCTTCCAACATGCACCCGTATGCACCCAAACTGGCCGTGCGTAGATAGATGCGATTCTCCAAGCAACAAGTATAACAAGTCGCGGATGTTTCCCGCCTACCACATAGTACGAGGCTGGTACATCATACAACTCGCGGTGCAGCGGCCAGCAAAACAACATAATCTTGCCATGTCACACATACGGGAAAAAAACAGTCTTCAGCCAAGGGTGCCGGGAAAAAATGTTTTCTGAGGGGGTACACTAAAATCAAGTAAAACAAATGATCCAAAAAACTACCAGAGTATTTTTTTAACTTTTCTCGCAATATTACGGCACCACTGCTGTTTTTTTTTTCATTTCGACCTCTCTAGGACGTAGGTGTCGTTCACTTTTCTGTGGGCACCCTTGCTTCAGCACCAAAAATGTTGCTGCCCTCGGCAAACCAAGCCCCAACAGGGCGGAGGTTCTAAAAATCGCAGATTGGTCACGTCTCTCACATCATGACCAAATTGCCAATTTCACCTGGACTCATAACCCAGGATGGAAATGAGCTCCTTGTAGACTATACCCTTGAAGAAGAAAAAAAAAAGGCGGCGGCGGCCAGCACACCCCTCTAGCGAGAGCTGCTCCCCGAGGATCTGTTTGAACGCCATGAGCGGCAGGGGCACGTCCAAGATCACCCCCGAGTAGACCGCGAGCCCCACCAACAGACCGACCAGCCCGTACTCCTCGTCGGCCCGGACGCAGTCCTTGTTGAACCACAGCACCCGGCCCTTCTCTCCCGCCGGCACGAACATGCCGGAGGACTGATCGAACAGCTGGGTTGGGGACAGGTCTGGGGGTGACATTTCAAGGGCGATCGGCCCCTTGATCCAGCGCAGGGACTCAAGGCGCTCGTGGGGGGAATGGGATTGGTGCACCAAGAGGTTGGTCGCCGCAATAGCAGGAAAAAGATCTCGGTTCGTGGTTAAGGCTGGTAGTCTGTTGTCTAGGTTGTGTTGGTCGTCATGGCTCCGCCGGTGATATTTCTGCACGAAAACTGTACGACGCCCCATAATGGTCAGCCATGAACAATCTCCCACACTACTCAGTTTTCCTAAACCGCCCATGGGAGACCCATGAGCCACCCATGGGCACTTCATGGCCGCCCAGACCCCCCCCTGCTTGCTACTCGGAAGCACAATTAGTTCTGGCGAACAGGACCCCGGCTGGCTGTTCAACCGCCGCACACAACAGGACGAAGCAAACAACGATGCCTCGAGGTCTTGTCCGCTGTAGTGAGCGAAAGCTGCTGAAACTCGGGGAGGCATCATCATTCGCGATGCTCTACCAAGTTATGCCTCGGTTGTCGCACGTCGTACACCGTAGCTCGAGATCGTCTTTTCAGACCCGGTCGGGCAAGGGGTGCCGGAAGCTAATGAAAATGACACGAAAGGAAAAACTTAGGAATACTGCTTTGATGCGAACACATTGCCCATTTCAAAGGAAAATTTCACGATCGGACTGCCAACACGGCTAATCCCTCATCAAGCAAGGCAGTGAATCTCATTCACACAAACCGTTAATCTTGTAGCTGCATGGGACAGATCGGAGAGATGCTGCTCTAGTCGCACGGGAGTGAGTCGCGTTTTCCCTCCATTTTGATGCACACAGCTCCGACACGCACGCACGCACCCACTTTCTAGCGTGCAACAAGCGGATACCTCGAGTGGGCCTCAGGCGACTCGCTGAGCTGCTCAAGACAAAAGCCTAAAATGTATTGGTTTTCATTTTCTATCGCGCTGGACCCTCTGGCGATCACAATATCGCTTACCGTATACTCGTCCTACAGAATTATTGCAGAACAGCGACACATGCATGTTACGTCGTCCATCTTCGTCGTGTGTGGCCAGCCTATTTGACTTCATGGACATTCAGAGATAGGTGTTCACGGGACACCAGTCGGGACAAACAAACATTTTTGTGTGATGTGTCCTCGAAGAGTGATTGACCCCCTCTGGGGCGTCCAAGTATATGCCGAAGGGTGGTGTAAAACTGACGCCAGGAGAACAAGTTGGACGGCAAAGAACACCCCAACGGTAATAACATGTATCATACGCAGACAGCAATCAACCCTCCTCGCGTCACACCACCCCCAGCGTTGTATTTTGTCTCTCTCGCTCTAACTGCTGTCTCTCTGGCTTAAAACAGTTCGTATGCAGACCGGCAATCTCGTGTTCACTCCTACGCGCCCTCCGAACCATAAAACGTGGCCTTCATCGGCGTTGCATGGTCCTCAGGGGTTGGCCGGGGGAATGAGTGCCTTTGGCACAATCCGAAGTGGGCAGCAGTATCACTACTCAACAGCGAGATCTACAAGCTGCAACCGCAGTCCACAGGAAGCAACAGGCAGATAGGCAGACAGGCAGGCGAGAAGCCCTTCCTATTCCACAAAATGTATTATTAAATAGGACAACATAGCAACATCCTTTGGCGAAAACAACCAGTTGGTGCTAAATAGCAACATTTCGAACCTAGGTACTTTTTTATGCCCTGCTGCGCTTCCAGACTACCGCTACGTAAAGTTCCAGGCGCCGCCGCCGCTGACGGCGCGCCTGTATGCTCCCGCGTCCATTCGCTTTTTAGCTTTACCCGTCTCCGCTCACTTCCCCCAAGCACGGGACGACGCCCATCGTGCACAATTTAGGAGCGTACAATCGCGGGCTCCTTCCTCCAAACAATGTGCCACAACCCTCTCGTTCGGTTCACACACACACGCGCGTGGACCGCTTTTGAGGACAGGCATCAGCGCACCAAAGGGAAGACCGAGGAAAATCACAATGCAGTAGTTAGGACGCTGCGATGTTGTGCAAAATTGAGATCGGTATCGAGAAGCCATTCGTGTGCCACAGGAACAGCCTTCTTCACTGAAACACCAAAAACGGACGGCAACACGCGCGTCATGACTGTAAAATATGCTCTTCATGACGTCCACGGATAACTAGTTACCCGTTTAGAACTTTGTTCTGTTTTTCGACAAATGAGCGGCATCTCTGCACGCACGACACGTGCAGCCTCATGCAATAAGTACACGCTATCGGGCCGCTACCAACACCCGCCAAGATCATATACATGGCTCGACCAAAATAAGAAATAATTCCGGCAGGACATTGCAAGAGAGGAAGCGCAGCAACGCTTGTCCGGTACACGACCTACCCGACGTATGCTACCCGGCCGGTGTTCCTCGGCAGTCTGCATGTTACGCGTTCGAAAGCTCCAAACACACCCAGACAAGAGGCAGACCCCGCGCAAGGAAGACCACCGTGGATCTCACCGGAACCCCCAATGCATTGCTTGTAAAATATTGATATTGCTCACGACTGTTTCCCATTAGACTCGAAAGGCACGCCTAAACCACGCCTGATCGCTCGGAAGCGCGCGGGAGAGTCGACCGAGAGCAGTCGTTGTCGAGATGCCTAATCTAATCGGTCGAGGCACCGATCGCTTTGCTCCGACAGTGACTCTTCGCCTAGGAAAACGTCGGACTTAAAATGCCGGCCTTACATGGGTCCTGGCAAGCCAAATGCCAGAGTTCCTCCTCTCCTGTACTCGACAGAGGTCTCAACAGAGGCGTGTTTTTGGAGGGAGCGGCTTTATCTTCTGGCATATTTGCCGACAAAGGCCAACAACACAAAAAAAACACATTGGGCGGAGGTAGCCGATGACTATTGGAAACGAGTACCACACTCTACGAGCTATGGCCTGCCAGGACACGGGTGGAAGTCGAACCCCCTTGTGGAGCAAATACCCCCCCCCTATGTGCTGCGGAGCGTCCTTGCCGTAGTACATTTCACGACCGCCCCCATGAAGCTTATCGCCGAGAAAACCCTTGAAACAAGGGCACCGCCGGTGAAAAGGACGCCTGTGATGGGAGGCGCAGGGGGGGAGGGGGAGGGGTACAACCGGCTCAAAGTCGTGATGTGTCGCTTGCACGAGGAAAAGTATAGCTCCGCGACTGATTGCAAATGAAAAACAAAGACAACGAATGCATCACAATTGGCTGAAGTGCATTATTCGTGAGTGCCCAGGGAGAACAGACGGCCGTCCAGAATAAACAGGGTGACGAAAAAAACAAAAGAAACACACCCCATCAATGAAGGCTCTGCAAAATGTTGCAACACGCGGCATACATATGCATGAACGTTCTATCATAGAACCCACACAAACTGCGTGGTACGCCATGTTTCCGTATGTCAGCCATCACCTGCGCTACTAACGGGCCACCTACCATCCCATCCCGCTTACAGCGCTGGGCGTTCAAATTTAGCGGGAATGAGCACGCGGCGCGTGATGTTTCCAAACGCATGGGCACCGCAACGTAAATGACGGCCTTCTCCACCGGGGGATACGGCTTCGTTTGTAACTCACAAATGCACTGCAGCCACACACAAACTCCTAAACCCAACGCTAAGAATCAACCTCAAGGGTAAGCTAGACCAAACATCTGAGTGGTGCGGTAGGTCGTTCCACAGAGCACTAAAGCCCCCGCGAAGATTACCGCGGGCGCACCCTAGATCAAGGGGACCACAAGTGGCCAACGCTTCGCGACCCTGTCTGGCATTTTCTCAAAAGATTACTTCTTTGTCCCAGACCATAGGTGGCCAGTGTTGACATGAGCTAAAATGTGAAACACGAAACAGGTGTGGTAAACATATATAATATGCAGCACATGTTACCGAAACCCTGCTATCACGCGGAGGCGAGTCGGCTTGTTCTCATCTCGGGCAGCGTGAAAACGCAAGTCTTCCGCGTATCCGCAGGCAGTCGTATCCGGCCGACCCCGTACCAACGAGAAAGCAACACGGCGGCGGTGTCTCTAGGTGCTATCAGGAAACAGGGCGGCTGCGCTTATTGGTCGCTCGACGAGCCTGTGGTTGACCTACAGTACAGAGGCAGCCGCCATCAACAACCACCTTCCCCACACCCCCTCATCTCACCTCAAGTCATGCCGACAAGGGCAGACAGACCCCTCTCCCAACACGAAACCCTCACGCGCTGTGTCTCACCTCAAGCCATCCCCACAGAGGCAGACGCGTCTCTCATCACGAAACCCTCATGCGTTTTGTCTCCCGGCCAGCGCCGCCACCGCTTCCGCCCGCGCCAGCGGTGGACCCGCCGCCGCCGCCTCCATCCCCAGCCCCAGCCCCAGCCCCAGCTTCGGCCTTCACGACCGGAGCCATCTCCTTCGACCCCGTTCTACGCTCCACGACCGGCATCGCCGCCACCACCGCCTCCTCCTCCGCCAATCTCTCCTCCGCCCCAACGCTGCCACCGCCGCCGCCGCCGCCACCGCCGCTGCTGCCGCCACCGCTGCGCGGGCTTGTTGCTCTCTGCCCATCCCCGCCGTCCTCGCTTTTCGTGGCCGCCTCCGCCAGGGTAGCCAGGCCTCCGCTCCCGGCCCGGCGCCGCCCCCTTTCCTCTTCCCCGACCCCTTCCTTATCTCCGCAGCTGTTCCCATCGGGCACCACCGCCGGTCCCGAGCACGCCTCCCCGGGAAAACCGCCTCGTTGTTGTTGTTGTTGCTGCTGTTGCTGCTCCGACTGGGCCCGATCGCTCGCCCCGCCGCGCCCTCCGTCGCCGGGCTGTTGGGCCGAAGAGCCGGGGGGACGACCGCTGCTGCCGCCGCCGCCAGGAGACTTGGATCTCTCCGCCCGCGAGCCGGTAGTACCGTTGTTGGAGGTGTTCCCGCCGCCGGCTCCACCGGTCACTGTCCCTCGGCTGTAGAGGCGACACGCCACACCAGGATACGGGGTTAGTTCGTTCGTTCAATGGGCGAATCGGCTTGCCTGTTTACCGCACCCTGCAGCAGTGTTATCAATCCCACTTTGCCGCCGCCACCCGAGTCCGACAGTTGTACGACAGCGGTACTGCCGCACTACAAAAGACAGGTACACGGTGAGCGTGACATGCAGTTGACGAACACAATCTTCTTACCGCGGAGCCTGTTGCTACATCCAACTCTCTACGTTCAGAGTTAGAAAAGATATCCTGGCGAGGGGCTGGCGAGGCCGAGTAAATGTTTGTCAATCCCAACGCTGACAATGGTGGTTTAAAGGCAACAACAGTAACGACGATGACGACCGCAACAGCACCAAAAGCAGCGACTCACCTTGTTACAGAGTCGTCCTGGCTACCGTCTCCCGCCCTCCCCCTGCTGCTCTCCCCGTCCCCTTGCCGCGTGCCCTTCGAACGTGACCAAACAACAAGCGCCAACACCAAGAACAGGCATGGTGCGTGCGGGTAAAAATCTCATTTAAGACCACTTACACTAGCAACACCAGCATCAAGCACGGTAGCAACGACAACCAGAATTCAGAGTAGCTGCTAGATTTCACAGTAGCTGCTGCGTGAAAATGCCAATCGAAGCTTCGGAATACCCCCCCCTGGGTACCGTTACGGGGCTGAGCTGCAACCATCCGGTGAGCCAACCTTCGTCCAAAGCCACCGATCACCTGCAGCTTACCCAAGACCACAAAACAGGTCCCGGCCGATATTTCATTCTTAACCCTTAGCCGAATATTTTGACGCGCACCATGCGGCAGCAGAGGCAGAGAAAACATATCCACGGCGTGAACAAAAAAAAACACGTGAACAACCTGAACTTCTCAAAACAGCTGATATGACGCAATATCACACGTCATGTATTGCCGGGACCCCCATTCCAAAAGAAGGTACCCGAAGCTGGCTGTCTGGAATCTCGTCCGAGTGGGCATCCACTACCGCATCATGGCCTTTGGAAGCGTTTTCCGTTCTTAGGCGCACCGACACTGGCTTTTCTGCACGGGTCAGCCGATTGGTGGGGTCGATGCTAAAACTAAAGGCACACGTACGCTGAACCGACGCTTTCCACACCAACGCCTCCACACACCTTCCCGCACGAGGAGCCGCCCCAGCCCTCCTGCCCCGCCGTCTCCGCCGCCCCGTCCGCGCGGGACTCCCTCTCCTGCTGGCGTCGCTTGTCTTTGCGGCCACCCCCGCCCCCCCCGCCCCACCAACCCAACCAGGCGTGATTGTCAAGGAGCGGTGCCTA